ATAGTGACTTTTTTGGGTCTCTTTTCACATTCCTTGATTTGTATTCTACTTTATCTGATGTAAATACAGCTACTCTTGTTCTTTTTTTGGCTTTCAGTTGCATGGAATATCTTTTTCCACCCATTCACTTTTAATCTACATATGTCTTTATAGGTGAAGTGGGTTTCCTGTAGTTAGCCCTTGTTTCTCTATCCATTCACTCTATAAGAGGCACCATCATTGGGCTGGGCATGGCAGCTCACCCCTCTAATCCTGGCATGTTGGGAGGTTGCAGTGGGAGGATTACTTGAGCCCAGGAGTTCAAGAGCAGCCTGGACAACATAGGGAGACCCTGGCTCCAACAAAATATTTTTAAAAATTGGCCAGGAACAGTGGCTCATGCCTGTAATCTCAGCACTTTGGGTGGCCGAGGCGGGCAGATCACTTGAGCTCAGGAGTTTGAGACCAGCCTGGGCAATACAGCGAGACTCTGTCTCTACAAATAATAATTAAAAAAAAAATTAGTTGGGTATGGTGGTGCACGCTTGTAGTCCCAGCTACTCAAGAGGCTGAGGTGGGAGGATTGCTTGAGTCCGGGAGGTGGAGGTTGCAGTAAGCCAGGACTGCACCACTGCACTCCAGCCTGGGTAACAGAGTGAGATCCTGCCTAAAAAAAAAGAGGCACTATTTTTTTTTTTCTTTTTTATTATTACTTTAAGTTCTAGGGTACATGTGCATAACGTGCAGGTTTGTTACATATGTATACTTGTGCCATGTTGCTGTGCTGCACCCATCAACTCGTCAGCACCCATCAACTCGTCATTTACATCAGGTATAACTCCCAATGCCATCCTTCCCCCCTCCCCCCTCCCCATGATAGGCCCCGGTGTGTGATGTTCCCCTTCCCAAGTCCAAGTGATCTCATTGTTCAGTTCCCACCTATGAGTGAGAACATGCGGTGTTTGGTTTTGAGGCACTATTTTTTTTAAAACAGGCAAATAAAGAGGCACAAAAGGACAATAAGGAGGGATGATAAGAAAGTACCTCTGAGGCCTGGGTGAGTGGGGATCCTGTCACAGCCCCTACGCTTCAGGGAGACTAAGGCTTTGGAATGCCTCCCTCAAGGTTCCTTCTAAATGCTCTAGCGCCTGGTAGAGGTGCACCCTGAGCCTGGACCTGGTCCCATGTGGGAGCTAGTTGCCAGAAGTGCCTCCCTTGAAATTTTCTAAGTCTCACTTTTGTGCTTGTGACAGTGCCATGTAACCAACCCTCTACATCGTGTTTGGTGTGTACCAAATGTCCTGAGGAGCTTGGGACTTGCGCCTATGAAATCAAACCTGGGTCTTAAGAGAATGGGTCATTCCCGTTGGCTGGGGCAATAGTGCTTTCATAAGATAGTACAAGATTGGGTTGCCAGAATGGTGCTGACATATTTTTAGGTGACTCTCATATTCATTTAGGTGACTCACAAGTTCAGGGTTGTGGCTACCAAAGGTCACCACTGGTCCTCGGGACTGAGTTGTGTGTGTAGGCCTATGCAGTGGGTCTCCCTGGTCTGCGAGGGTAGTGGCAGCTGTTATTTACCCTGTCTGCCTCCAGCCACTGACATCAGGAAGGTTACCCTTCCCACTTCTGCAGGCCATGCCTATCTCCTCTGAGGCCTTTTAAGACTGTTGGTCCACAATGCCAGTGGGCAATTCCATTCAATGTCCTCTCATTTCCAATTGATAGTTACACTGTGCTTTCCAGATTAGGCGTTAAGCCATACTGATGGAGGAATAGACATTCTTTGCACAAATGGAACCGCTCTTCTTGCTCCAACCACGGAGCAAGGATAGGCTCTTGCCTATCCTTCCAGGGTGCAGCCAACATTGAAAGAGATCACAGTATAGGAATGCAGTAACTGCAGCCTAAAATGTTCAAAAGACTGCATGGTTGGAAAGCAATATTTAGTCCAAATGGTAAATAGGACCAAAAATTGGATTGTTATTTATTTTCCTGTACACTCTGGGTAGGATTTGCTTGCTTTTCGGTAATCGCCAGTGAAGTATGGTAACAACCTTTGAGAGATCATTGGAAACCAGTATTCACAGTAGCACAACGAATGCTGCATCATAAAGGAGGAAGTAGCATTAAACAAATGACATTAGGGAGCCGCTGAGGCAAGATCTATACAGCTCAACACGAAACAGTTTCTGAAGTCATGACATTGTAAATCCTAACAGCATCGTTACTCTTTTATCACAGAGGGAGATATGAAATTAGCCAGGAATAGCACATCTGACAAAAAGAACACAGACTATTTCCTAGTCCCAAAGACTAGGGAACAGTCTAGAAAGAATTAAGAATCTTTGTTTGAACTGGTTGGACAATAAATATGCACCAGTTTTTTTGAGACAGGGTCACCCAGGCTGGAATGCAGTGGCACAATCTCAGTTCACTGCAAGCTGCACCTCTTGGGTGCACCTTAGCCTCCCAAGTAGCTGGGACTACAGGCGTGTGCCAGTACACCTGGCTAATTTTTTGTAGAGGTGAGATTTTGCCATGTTGCCCAGGCTGGTCTTGAATTCCTAGACTCAAGCAAGCCTCCTGCCTTGGCCTCCCAAAATGCTGGGATTACAGGTACAAGCTACTGGGTTTGGCTGATTGTTCTTTTCATAGGAAAAATAAACATTCTTGAGTCTGTAGTGATAGAAGGAAAAGTAAACTCATTTACCATCACTGACTCTTTATCCTTAAAAATGAAAAATAGGCCGGGCGTGGTGGCTTAAGCCTGTAATCGCAGCACTTTGGGAGGCCGAGACGGGCGGATCACGAGGTCAGGAAATCGAGACCATCCTGGCTAACACTGTGAAACCCCGTCTCTACTAAAAAAAAATACAAGGAACTAGCTGGGCAAGGTGGCGGGTGCCTGTAGTCCCAGCTACTCGGGAGGCTGAGGCAGGAGAATGGCGTAAACCCGGGAGGCGGAGCTTGCAGTGAGCTGAGATCTGGCCACTGCACTCCAGCCTGGGCGACAAAGCGAGACTCCGTCTCAAAAAAAAAAAAAAAAAAAAAAAAAAAGAAAAATAAAGTATGTTTAACATCGAGATCTGGTGGGCAACATTTTAACCAAGCAATCTAACTAACTTAGCATTACTAGTAGTGGAATAACTTGATATTGTGTCTCCTCGTGTTACAACGTAAAGTACACAACATGAGCCATGAAATATCCCTGCCAAAACCTGAATCGCATCTAGTCTTTAGGTCTAATTTTCAGGAAATGTGGGGACTGGGGTGGGGTAGAAGAACAACGTACTGATAGTATAAGCAAGCAAACATACCAGTCAAGAATGTGGGACATTCTACAGAACACTGGTTTGATTTTTTTTTCTCATAAAGTTACTATTATGTGAAATAAGAGGTGAGGTTCTAGAAAAAGAGACAAGCAAACACTGTGGATGAACCATGATGAAATTCTGGTTAAATAACAATTATAATTTGGGGACAAGTAGAAAAATTTGATTATGGGCTGAATATTAGATGATATTGGGGAATTACTGTTATTTTTCCTTGGTGTGATAATGATACTGTGGCTATGTAGAAAGAAACCTTTAAGAAAATTTACACTGAAGAATTTAGGGGTGAAATGTCCTGTCCACAGCTTACCTTTAAATGGTTTAGCAAAGCAAAACTGTATCTATATAGACACACAGAAACCAAACACATACACACAAGGCAAAATCTTTAAAATGACTGAATCTAAATGGTATGTACAGATACCGTATCATCGTGCTATTCTTTCAACTTTTTTTTTTTGAGACAGAGCCTTGCTCTGTCGCCCAGGCTGGAGTGGAGTGGTGCAATCTTGACTCCCTGCAACTTCCACCTCCAGGGTTCAAGTGATTCTCGTGTCTCAGCTTCCTGGGTAGCTGGGATTACAGGCATGCACCACCATGCCTGGCTAATTTTTGTATTTTTAGTAGAGACAGGATTTCACCATGTTGGCCAGGTTGGTCTTGAACTACTGACCTTAGGTAATTTGCCCACCTCGGTCTCCCAAAGTGTTGGGATTACAGGCATGAGACCACGTCTGGCCGCTTTCAACTTTTCTGTTTGCAAATTTTCAAAATAAAAAATTGGAGAGAGGGGAAGACACAGTAGGGTAAGAAGGTAAAAATATAGGGGGAATATTTGGTATAAGACTTCAAAGATGGGTGTAATAGATCAATAGTCTAAATGGAAAGATTAGCACTTAGATGGTGTGTATCATTTTCTGAGACTAGAGGAGTACAGGTAGTCATGTGGGTAGGTATGGGTGTGGGAATTTGAGAAAATATCAAGTGATCTCAATATTCTTCAAGAGACAGGAGGCAAGGAGAGTAGCAGTTGCTTTGTGGCATGAAGAAAGTTGTTTTGGAATGGTTGCTGTGGGGAATGGCAAAGGAAGCTGACCAGGGATATGTGAAAGATTTCACAGGGTGCACCAGAGCTGCTGCTAAGACTTGATTGTCTGAAAATTGCTTCTCATTTTTGTTCCTATTAGCATCCCAAACTTATCGCCTATCATAGAACCCACCAGATTCTAATTGCCTGATTACGCCAATAGATCATGAGTTTGAGGGAAGGAGCTTGATTTTTATCTTCAGTTTCCAGCACTAAGCACAGCCCTTGGCATGTAGAGTAGGCATTCAGTGTATACATTTTAAATAAAATAGCAACAGTTTCACACATAACTTGTAAATAGTTTTTTTTTTTTTTTTTTTTTTTTTAACGTTTCTTCTTACCCTCAGCTCACTGATGGGTTAGCTGCTTTTCTTCCATGCTCCCATAGCAACATAAATGTTTGTCATTACAAACCCATATCATTGCATTTTCTGCACTGTATGAAATTACCTGTTTATCTGTCTGTCTTCTCCAGTAGACTAAAATATTTTGAGATCAGTGATCTTGTAGCTTTCTATCCCAAACTTAGCACACTCACTGGCCTATAATATAAGAGGCATTTTCTGGTCTGAGCTGAACAATTAAAAAATACTAAGTTTTGGTTTGCAAAGGCTTTATTTCTGGATGTATAGGTGATTTTTAACAAATATTAATACTTTCAAAAACAATCTTAACAATATTATTAAAGTAAAATAAACAGTATAAGATAAAGTGCTCAATTACCTAATCATAGTATTCTAGATAAAACCTGGGGAAAACAATGGCTTTATATTTTAAAAGGCACAGTAGCACCCAGCATAGTCCTCTTTTTCAATTTGCTTCTCTCCAAGTGTTCAAAATGTAAGGAATGCTTTCCATACCCCTGAAGGCAAACATTTCCAAACAGATTTAAAAGTTCAGGAATTGGGTTCAGGTGACTTTTTATTAAAACAATTCAGGTGACCAAGCACTTTGAGTATCACACACTGAAGGTGGGCCTTTTTCTGAAAATGGAAGGCAACATTCTAAATAAGAATCAGGTCCAAGAATAGGGTGCAGCTGAGGTGCTGCTAAGACTTGAATGTCTGGACATTTGGAAATCCAGCCTGAACTTTTACAGTTATATTTAGGAGTTTTCTCTTTCATAACAACTGCTGTAAGCATATTCTTTAATTTCTTCTTAATTAAACCTTTATTGGTTCCTTGTCTAATATGTTTCAGTTTCTTTCTTGGTAACTCTTGATCAGGGAAATGATGGGCAGCAAGGCATTTCCCTAGACCTATGACTTGGAATCCAAGCGTATCTGAAGGAAATATTTTTTGTGTGGTAGGAGGGACCCATTCATCACTATCGGTTTCATGGCACTCAGCGAAAGGAGAGGGATTGAAAACTTCTGGTTGTGAAATACCAGATACAATAGGGCTTCTGATTTTCTGGCTAGGTGTTTTTATATTTTTTGGACAGCTTGGGCTGGCTTGCTGTTTGTCATTTTCCGGGAAAATCCTTATTTTTTCATAGTTAGCATCAAGATCTGAATAAAATACAGGTTTTTTAAAAGCTCTGTTTATCCCATGAATTCTTGTTTGGTGGAATCTTGAAATTGGAGTTGACTGTGAACACGGAACAAAGTCTTGACTATTTTCAACATTATATTCTGAATCTGATTGAAATTGAGGTGTTGGAGAGCATGTTCTTGAACGCCTAGAGTCAGAAATGCTTTGCAAGGATAATTTTTGTGAAGGCTGGATGAAGTCTTCAGAAAGTGATCTCAGTGAAAAATCAGACTCTGAAGGATGACTTTCTGCCAAAGACGTTCCCCGTTGTAACAAAATTTCCTGTGATTTTTTGGTCATCTCTGTTGCAATGTCCATTTCTTTAGCAATATCATCAAAGAGATCAGCAGAGGCATCATAGCTACCATCATAACCAATAGAATAGCTCTGCGTTAAGTTGTTATTGATATGTCCCCAAGGCATTTCTTTCAATGTATTTGTACTTCTATTTGGACTATTGCAAAGAGTTTCTAAAGGATATGTAAGTTTCCTGCAAATTGTAAAACTGTCATCTTGGTTCTTGGACCACCTATAATATTGTTTATTTTCTAATTTGCAAAGATCAGAGACATCATTATACTTCCTAGAACATAGAGTTGTCAACTTTTCATTCATTTCTGAAAGTGATTTTTCTCCACATCCATTCAAATATTTGTTATTTGGACTAAAATGGTCACTCTCTGAAGTACTGGGCCTAAATAGAATTTCATCCCTGGGTGGTGAGATTCTGATAGTCTTCTTAAGAGTAACTATTGTTTCTGAATCTTTTGAAGATGAAAACAGAGCTGACAGGTAAGGATTTGGTAGAAAATACTCTGACATACCTCTTCCATTATGATTTACAGAGACAGCCTCTACTTTGTTATCTAGTTGTGACTCTTTTTCAACACTAGGACTTAGGTTTACTTTACAGTTGAAAAGGAAGTCATCTTTGCTACAGTTTGCTTTGACTATTGCTTGTGATGATCTTAAAGCTATAGGTGGTATATGCAGGGCTCCAGTAGTTCTCTGGGGAGTCACAGATAACCTGCTGTGGTCTGCATGAAATGTATCAATGTCATTATCTACATGATGCTTCCTACTACTGACATCTGCCTGGGTTATAGCAATCTCACTTTCAAGAACTGCCAGAAACTTGTTCAAGCTTTCAGAGAATGGTAGATCATCCCAAATTTGAGGGTCGCCATCCTGGGAATTGCTGGCTGTCTCTTCAAGTCTGACTAACGAAGGTGGACAACATGTAGACCTCTTTTGAAGGCTAGTGGGGGTATCTATACCATGATGCTGGAAACATGGTGGCTCATGCTGGGACCTATTTTTAATTTCCACTGCACTGTGGAAGGATTTTGTATTACTTGACTCAAGGGGCTCTCGCATTTCCAAAGAGAATAAATTAGAGTCATTAACTCCAATTTCATGATGATTGCTGTGAACTGCACTCAGCTCCTTAGCTTGTAAGCCAAGTTCTTTACCCAACTTTTCTGCTGTACGCTTTTTATCCATATATGAAACAAGGCTCCATGAATCCTGAATGGGATCATGGCAGCTACTGGAACCAGTGGCCTCTGCAATGGAGATGGAATTTCTGTTCTGCTGAAGAGTACCAAAGGCCTTACTTTGTTCTGAAGCTGAAAAATCATCATTATCTGTTAGCTTTGAAACAATGGAAGTGAACTCAAGTGATGGCTGCCAGAATTTTGAAAAAGTATCCTTGCTGCAGGACTTGAAAAAATAAGAAGTGCTGTCAGAAGTACATATGCTGCTGAGATCACTATTTGAGTGATCTAAAGAAAGTAAGTGATTGTTAGGTGCGTGAGAGTCACATTGAAGTTTCCTGAAATTAAAAGTCTGCAAAAGTTGACAGAAGTAGTCAATGACAGTAAAGCCTGCAATACCTGGGTCCGGTAGAACAATCTGGCAAGCCACTAGTGCTCTGGCTTTTCTTTTGTGGTCAGAGCATTGCTGTAAGAAGTTACTGGCATCTGCACCTTGTCCAGAGTGGCTTTCAAAATTCTGTGAAAGAAGTAAAGAAATTTAAGTAAGAATAAAATTGTCTTCCTTTTACTTAAAACATGAAACAGAGATTTAGCTAGGCACAGTGGCTCATGCCTGTAATCCCAGCGCTTTGAGAGGCGGAGGCAGGCAGATCACTTGAGCCTTAGGAATTTGAGACCAGATTGGGCAACATGGTAAAACCCCATCTCTACAAAAAAATACCCCCACAAAAATTAGCTGGGCATGGTGGTGTATGCCATGCTACTCAGGAGGCGGAGGTGGGAGGATCTCCAGAGCCTAGGGAGGTCAAGGCTGCAGTGAGCCATGATCTTGCTACTGCACTCCACCTTGGGTGACAGAGTGCGACTCTGTCTCAAAAATAAAATAAATAAACAGATTTAAAAGGTTAAAACAGACACAACTATTACCCCCACCCCCCAATTCCAATTTCGATTCTGTTAGAGTTATAGGCAAAGTAGCATATGTAAGAGAATATAAACCTTAGAGTAAAGAGCTTGTTTAAACTGATTTGAAGAAATCCTAGTTCCAGCATTTACTAATAGTGTTGAGACTGGACAATTTATTTAACCTCTCGGGGTCTTAGTTTTCTCATTTATAAAATAAAAATAAAAATGCAGAGTACTGTTTAGTAATAAAATGGAAAACCGCACAGTGCCTAGAAAATAGTAGTGGCTCAATAAATGGCAACTATCATAGTTCTCATTAAATAAGGAGAGGAAGCGGAGAGGAGGGGAAAAAAGGGGAGGGGGAAAAAGAAGAGAGGAGAGAAAAGGATTGTCTATGATTTTAACAAAGTAAAGCTCTGTAGCTGCTGATTCTACTTTCCCTTTGGATTTTTCTCACTCTTCTGTTGTGGAGTGCTCTATTTCCTCTTTTAAAACCCTGATTTCAGTGTGGAAAAAAATGTCTCTTTGTTCCCTTTAGCATAGATGAGACAGAAAACTATTACTCCTTCAAAGTCAATACATTTTTTAACTTCTTCTACAGTCACTTTTATAATTATTTAAGACCATATTTCTTAATCTAGTTTTAGTATTCTTATCAATACTCAGATACTTTGCCTTCAGTGTTCCATTATTCTCTTTTTATAGATGACAGAATTAAAAAGCTAGAGAATTGATGGAAGTTTTACTATATAATTTGAACAAAATCTGGAGGGCAAAATAAATACTAACAACCAAAAACAAATATCTAACATTTCTAAATATATAATAAATTTATATTTTTAAGCTCTGAAAGCATTTGAAGTAGGCTCCCCTGACTTTTGAAAGAGGAAGTTGTTACACATGGTGTTTTAACAGACCACCTATAGGCTATTTTTAAGTAGTTTAAAGTGTTTCCACAGGCCTTCACATTTATAGAACTCCTAACAACTATTTAGAAAATTCACATAATTCATTATAATGGAAATGTTAACAGATTATTAAAAAGAAAGTTAGTCTCAATTACCGTCACTCCAAAAATAAAGCTTTGTCCAACAAAGCAAGTTTCAACTGCTTTAGTTAATAGATTCTGAGTTGTATCATTGTCGAGTGTTTCTGGAATTTTATTAGGATCCTGAATGTACCTTGATTGGGGGAAAAAAAAAAACGTGAAAAAATAAACTTTGAAATTTTAACTTGCCATAAAGTCAGAGACACAATTAATTTGAAAATGCAGCATGAATCTTTTATAGAGGAAAAAAAAGTGACTTTAAGAGCCAGGCAGTTTGTTCTCTCTAGTTTCTCACAGCACAGAAAAACCAACAAAACCAATTGATCAAGTGTGAGTAAAGTAGTTACCTGACTAACCATCAGGCCCGGCAATAATTATAGGGAAAAATAAAAGTGGCAGTGCAAATAGTGGTGGGATCTCTTGTCCTTCACTTCAAAGCAGGAAAAAGTCTTCCCTTTTCTCTGATAATCCTGTTTGTGGTCCCTTTATTGTCTCAAGCACAAAAACATGGACATAGATTTCTTGTAAGTGATTAGGGGAGGAGGGCAGAAGATTGAAGGAGAAGAAAAGCTTTAATTGTTTATCCTTATATTCTCAGGACAATGTCATAAAAGGTCAAACTATGCAAATAAAGTTGCAATACAGATAAAAAAATAACAAAACTTCAATTTCTGATATGCAAATATTCCCTCAAATAGATTCTCCTGCCTTAGGGGGAACTTAACTGTTTGAATGCTAACCTCAATTTGGATAATTCTTCAATTTGAAATTGTTACTTTCTTAGCCTCTATTTCTGTAACTTGGATTAGAGATTTATAATTTAATACTCTAATTACAGATTAATTACCCTAAATAAAAGGAGACTGTTTTAACATCATCATAATATGTATTCAGGAAATAAACATCTTTCTTACTTGCTTGTCCTTTAAAGGAATTGACAATCTGGGGTTGAATGACCATCTTTTTACGAAAATGCATATTGCCTTATAAACTTGTATCTTCAAATTCTAAGGGCAGTCAGGAAAAAAGGATGTTTTAAGTATTCTTACCTGTGCAAACCAGTGGCAGTAAGACCAAAAAATGTATCTAAGCAACTTCCAAATACAGTAATAACAAATAATTTGTTTGATTCTGCAACTTTTAAGGAAAGTTTGTATCTGTAATTGGCATTTCCAGATTCACCAGTACAGCCACATTTCGGACAATTAGACCTAGAAAAGTGGTGGAAAAAAGTGTGGAGATGTTCATTAAATGTTTTTCATATGATGAAAACTCCAGAAGAGTAAAAATTTAAAATAACATTTTGTGTATAAACGCTCCTACACAACTCAAATTCTTCTTAAACTCTTTCAGATCAACTTCTTTTAACTTTCTCTATTCAGAATAGTCAGCTTTACTGATTTAAATTAAATAGCCCCAAGTTGATAGAAATACATACCAAATTGATAGAAAACTAAAGGAGAACTGTACGTGAAAGAGAGGACAAAAAGGCCGGGCGCGGTGGCTCATGCCTGTAATTCCAGCACTTTGGGAGGCCGAGGTGGGTGGATCATGAGGTCAGGAGATTTAGACCATCCTGGCTAACACGGTAAAACCCCGTCTCTACTAAAAATACAAAAAAATTAGCCAGGAGTGGTGGTGGGCGCCTGTAATCCCAGCTACTCAGGAGGCTGAGGCAGAAGAATGATGTGAACCCGGGAGGCGGATCTTGCAGTGAGCCAAGATCGCACCACTGCACTCCAGCCTGGGGGACAGAGTTACACTCCACCTCAAAAAAAAAAAAACCAAAAAAAAAAAAAAACCAAAAAAAAAAAAACCAACAAAAAAAGAGAGAGGACAAACAATAAATAATCTCAAAATATTTAATACCTATTTATACACAAAGCACTTAATTGCGTTTTTCTCACCATAATGAAAATTACTTTCTTTAATTCATTAGAATATGTTGATAACTTACCAGATTATAAAACTGGATATGAAAACCATGCAATTTAACTTGTTTTTTTAAGACAGTATGTAATGGTGGCTAAAGGCTTTCTAGTAGAAAAAGTATACATCTACATGGCAGTGTAACTCTATTGCCATGTACTCATTGTCTGACAGTTACTAAATTCTTGAGTTCCTCATCTATAAAGTCCAGGGCTGAAGAAGGATTAAAATAGACAAATAAAGGGTCTAGTGCAAATACTGTGAAATTAGTGTTAGTCTGCTTTGCCCTCATAATTATATTAAGTATTGTGATAATTACTGTCACTTGTACTGTTTCCTTCTTGTCTAGTTTGCAATGTATTATAACTCTGATTTCTATCTTTCATGTTAATTTCCACCCCCTCAGTTATGTTAACTTTATTTAATAGACAGAATAGTCTAAAAATTTTTTTGAAATACAACAAGCACCTAAAAACATTTTCTGGTAATGGCTAATACTAGAATTTTGTTTTTTCTTCAGGTTGCTAAAGATCTTAAAAAAGAGTGGCAAAAGGCAAACAGAAAGCAAGGTGAAAGATGGTTGTATAAATTTGGTTGTTGCCAGATAGCCACTAGGGGGAGTCTAAAATCTGTAGCTCTCAAAGTGACTCACCTTTATTAGATCTGTGCTATGATTCTTCTGCCACATTGAGGATGGATCTATACCAACCCATTCATATAATCCTACACAAATCTGCTGGAGTTTGTGCTGTAGGTTAGCCATAGAATGAATTAAAGGTAATTGACTCACTAGGGGATAAAACTCCATTAGTACCAAACTCTAGTGAAATGAACTGTTTAAAATATTTATTGGAATTTCTTTAAAGGCTATGCAATAATAACACATACATGTCTAATGTAAAATTCCTAGCAAAACTTAGACTAATTAATGTGCATTAGCATTAAGTTTACAAATGTTTTCAACACACATTATTTCATTTTTATAGGTAAAATTCACAAATGGAGAAATTAGTTTGAATTTTTATCTGAGATGACAAAGTTGGTAAATATATGACCCAAACCCAAGGCTGTGAACTCGTATCATGAAGTTCTGATATTATGATATGATAACAGTGGGACCAAATGGTCAAAATAAAGAATTGCTTGCAATGACAATATCGATAATAGCCTCAAAAAACTATGTCTATTAGTGTTAATGCATTTACATATTAAACTATATATGTTTTTATAAAGTACATATGTATAATGAAGATATTTATATAGCTTTCTTTAATCCTTTTAGGAACGATGCTGGATTGAAATAAATGTTAGTGTAATGTAATATAGATTAGAGCTTCTCAAACATTAATATGTATACAAATCATCCAGAGATCTTGTTAAAATGAAGATTCTGATTCAGGAAGTCTGGGATGAGGCCCAAGATCCTGCATTTTTAATAAGCTCCCAGGTGATGCTGATGCAGATGTACCTTAGGCCATACTTCGAGAAACAAGGACATAGACAATATATTCACATCACTGTCCCCTAATTTAACTTCTAGAGGCACCCATATTTCTAAAATGTCATTTGATACAGAATAGCAGTTTTCAGACTTTTTGATTTTGCACTCCTTTATACTCTTAAAAAATTATTGAGAATATCAAAGAGCTTTTGTTTATGTGAATAATATCTATCTTTTTTTATTCGAAAATATTTACTTGGGCCAGGTGTGATGGCTCACACCTGTAATCCCAGCACTTTGGGAGGCTGTGGCGGGCAGACCACTCAAGCTCAGGACCTCGAGTCCAGTCTGGGAAACATGGCAAAACTGCATCTCTACAAAAAATACAAAAATTAATGAGCGTGGTGGCATGCGCCTGTAGCCCCAGCTGCTTGGGAAGCTGGGGTGGGAGGATTGCTTGAGCTCAGGAGGCAGAGGTTGTGGTGAGCTGAGATTGTGCCACTGAACTCTAGTCTGGAGGTGACGGAGTCAGACCTTGTCTCAAAAAAATAAAATAAAATAAAATAATTTACTTGCCAAAGATTGAATATATTCAAGGTATACGACATGATGATTTGAAATGTGTATACACTGTATGATTACCATAGTCAATGTTTTTTTTTTTTGAGACAGAGTCTTGCTATTGGTCAGGCTGGAGTGCAGTGGTGCGATCTCGGCTCACTGCAGCCTCTGCCTCTTGGGTTCAAGTGATTCTCCTGCCTCCGCCTCCTGAGTAGCTCAGACTACAGGCGCCCGCCACCACACCCAGCTAATTTTTTTGTATTTTTAGTAGAGAGAGGGTTTCACTGTGTTAGCCAGGATGGTCTCACTCTCCTGACCTCATGATCCGCCTGCCTCAGCCTCCCAAAGTGCTGGGATTACAGGCGTGAGCCACCGCCCCCGGCTACTATAGTCAAATTATTTAACACATCATGCATTACCACTCATGCTGTATATTAGATCCACAGAACTTGTTCATCTTGTATCTGTCTATATTTCTTTTTTGGTTTGTTTTGAGATAGGGTCTCACTCTGCTGCCCAGGCTGGAGTGCAGTGGTACTATCATAGCTTACTGTAACCTCAAACTCCTGGGCTCAAGAGATCCTCTTGCCTCAGCCTTCTGAGTAGCTGGGACCACAGGCACATGCCACCATGTGTGGCTTATTTAAAATTTTTTTTAGAGATGGGGGGGTCTCACTGTGTTGCCCAGACTACTCTTGAACTCCTAGGCTTAAGTGATTCTCTTGTCTCAGCCTCCCAGAGGTTGGGATTACAGGCGTGAGCCATCACACCTGGCCTCTATCTATATTTCTCATGAAATGAGAAATTAAATGAAAGTGAGAAATTAAAACTGAGAAATCAAAAAAATATTAATTCATTAAAAACAGACCCATTACATGGTTAACACAAAAAACATACTTTCACGAAAAAGTTACGTTTTTCAAATTTTAAAAATTAGTAAGAAGAGACCAGCATTGTTTCACATTTTACAAATCTCTTTAATGTCTGGTTTCATAAAAAGACAGCTGGATTCTCATATCTGCTTCTCTGCTCAATCTGTTGTGATAGTACATGTTATGTAGCCTCTGGGAAACTCCATTATGCACTCATGAGAGTGAAAAGGCAAATAATGCCTTAGAATTATGAAAACAGATTTGAGTGCAAGGAGCCTCTGAAAGGATCTATCTGAAATAATGGCTGTAATTTGCTATCTTTTTTGTTTCATCCCAGTTAAAACACCGAGTTTCATTTGTTTATTTTTTATTTTTATTCATTTTTTTTTGAGACAGGGTCTTGCTTTGTTGCCCAGGCTGGAGTGCAATGGTATGATCTCAGCTCACTGCAGCCTTGACCCCTCAGGCTCAAGTGATCCTCCCACCTCAGAATCCCGAGCAGCTGGGACTACAGGCACATGCCATGATGCCTGGCTAATTTTGTTTATTTTTGGTAGAGGATAGGTCTCACTATGTTGACTAGGCTGGTCTCAAAATCCTGGACTCAAGCCTATCTTGGCCTCCCAAAGTGTTGGGATTACAGGTGTGAGACACTGAGCCCAGCCTAATTTTAATTTTTTTTTTTTTTTAAGAGATGGGGTCTCACTACATTGCCCAGACTGGTCTCAAACTCCTGGACTCAAGCAATCCTCCCATCTTGGCCTCCCAAATGCTGGGATTACAGGCATGGGCTATTACGCCCAGACTGATTTATTTTTCTAGTGTCCTGATATTTAGCCCAGATGTAGAAGAACTGGATTAATGTTTTCTTAGTCTTGAAAACCTTAAAAAATCAGATGAAAGCAATGGATTCACTCTCTCCCCCCAAAAAACATGTATGAACACAATATTCGACATATTTTAGGGACTGGAGGAGTCATACACACCTATAATGTATCCACAGATTCCAGTTTAAGAATATCCTGACTATATGATTATATAATATCCCTTTCCGAGTTTATGGACCCAGATTAAATATACACAAAGTAATGAGACATATTTTAAAAAACATATCTCTTAATGCTTCCACATATCACTTCCCCCACAAAATAAGAAAACTATGATCTATATGTGTGAAATTAAATTTGACTTGCTTAAGTAAATGATATAAGCTCTTTGGGTACTTGGGAATGGGAGAGGATAGGTAGTCTCTGAGCAATGAGTTCTATTTTAAGACAGGAAAAGAAAGTTATTAGTGTTAGAGACGGATTTCTAGGCTAAAAGGGATTATGGGTCCCATTAGTCACCCAGAAGGGCAATTTCTCTCTGTTTGGGCTGGATGGATAGCTTGTCTGGATAAATAAATCCC